TTTTTATTTAATTATTTCATATTATTTTTTTTATTTATTGAATTTTTTTTTAAATCAATAAAAAAAATTTCACCTAACTTTATTGCTATCACACAGGAGAAAACAATCCCCTGTGTGATGATAGCAATTGGAGAGGTGACAGGTTCTCTTTATTGACTCTGTCACCTCCAATACAGGAGTTCTAGCGCAGCGCTCTGCTGGAACTCCTGTGACAGGTGAGAGGGGAAGAGCGCAGCGCAGCACAGCACAGCACCGCACAGCACAGCTCTCCCCTCTCACTGTCTACTGTCTACACGGAGCAGCAGTGTTAGTTTTAATCTTGCCGCTCTGCTCCCTACACCGGTGGCCAGTGAGGAGAGACTCGGCAGTGGAGCCCGAAGGATGGAGCCAGCGAGGAGAGAGGTAAATGCAGGGGGGAGGGGAGGAGGCTGCAGACTGTTTACATGTGATCTCGATGACATCGCTGAGTTCACATGTAAACGAACAATCGTATTCCGATTGTGCAAAGCAGGACTGAATGTCGAGAGGGCAACTTACTGCCTGGCGCCCGCAACTTCCTCACAAGGACGCCGCTGCCGCCCCCTCTGCGCCCTGCCGCCCCCCGAGGCCGCTGCCTCGGTGGCCTTGTGGGGAATCCGGCCCTGGTTACTAGGTGACATCACATTAGCAGTAGCCCAGTCAGCCCAGTTTCCCCATCATGTAGCGTAATTTCCCACCCAGTGCAAGTCCGATGAATAATATATATGACATTTGGCATTTGTGTTACCACATAGGTCATCCACTCCAAGAATCTCCTGCGTAGCGGCACATTGGTCGGCTCCTTCAAGCTGGATGTGGGGACGGTCTATACACAACCCGGTACGTTCCTCGCGGGGCGGAGCCTAAGACGTTTAGAAGTAAATCTACTCCGAGGATCCATTTTTTTTTTACTTCTGTGTGTTTTGCCTCATTCTCCTAGAACATCAGTTCTACCACAAATGGGCCATTCTATCTGATCCCGATGACATCACGGCCGGGGTCAAAGGTTACCTGAAATGCGACGTCGCTGTCGTTGGGAAAGGGGACAATATCAAGACGCCGCACAAAGCTAACGAGACTGATGACGATGACATTGAAGGGTGAGTGTTTCTGGTACCTTGGCCGCATCTCAAAGGCTTCCTCTTCCGGCTGACGCTTCTGTGTGGTGGGATGGGACTTCTGGATCACTTTTCATGCCGTCAGCTGTTTTAGGCTAAAGGAGGCATAAAGAGAACCCGTCTCATTGGATAGTGGTGGGCAGGAGATAGTTCTTAGAATTTGGTGGGGTGTCTGTTAGATCCCTAATGTCACCTTAAGGAGAACCGGTCACCTTTTTTACCTTTAAGAGAGAACTACGAGGCAAGTGTTTTTCCCCAGAGTTCTATTAAGGGTTCTCTTTCAGCGCCTGGGTCGCTATGGCATCTCATTCTGCCGGCTGTCACTGGCGGCTGTGAAGAGGAACTGTCAGTGATGTGTGCAGCGGCGCGTTACTCTCCACAGCTGCTGCTGAGTCAGTGACAGCCAGCAGCGGCAAAGGAGGAGGCTGGACCCAGCAGTGTAGGAGGAGGCTGGGCCCGGGGGTTGGCAGTGGAGGAGGCGGGGCAGGTGACGGAGGAGGCGGGGAGCCGGGGACGGAAGAGGAGGCGGGACCCACCAGCGACTGTGGAGGAGGCGGACAGCGGATCTAAGCCGACAGGTAAGGGGTGTGACCAGCCCACCTAAGACCCTGCAGAGCCCAACATAGAGAGTCTATGGTGGGCTCCACAGGGTCACTCTCAGGTGGGCTGTATGGGATCTCAGGTGGGCTCTGCAAGGGGTGTAACTAGAAATCAAAATTTTGCTATGTGGCCCTGTGCTTTCTAGTTAGGCCCTCGTGAACCGTCTCTGTTTTGAGCGCATTGGCGTCATGATCACCCAGATGGTAGCTTCTCCTGCAGCGGTGGCATGTCACCTGATCCGATGTCTGCGACATAGAGGTGGCTGGGTATGTAGATCATGTAAATCCTGCCCTCCTTATGGCTCCTCTTCATCTTTATGGAAAACCATGAGGGGGGCCCCCCGATGTGCTTCAAAGCCATCTGTACATCTGGGAGCCCCCGCCGCTCGTGGGCGCCTCACCAGGGATTCCGCCAGAGGAAGAAATGACGGCTTGGAATTCGGAGTACTGAGCTGAGCTTCGGGGTAGATGGTGACAGACGTGGAGCTCAGACATATTAATAACACGAGAAGGAAAATCTAATAATAGTAACAATTTCTTTATTACTGTGTTACAATGTATCCAGACCCAAGATCACATGACACATGTCATATATCGCAGCTTGACAGTCTGCAGAGGTGGGGGCCAGGAAGAGAAAATATAAGCAGATGACATTTTATCTCTAAAGATGAATAAAGTCGAATTATAATTGTCCTAAAATTCTATAGATTCCCCAAAAATGTTTTTTTTTTATTTGTATCTTTTTTTTCACTGTAATCTGAACTATGGCAGCCAATTGATGTTTGAATGTCTTTTCTGTTTTCATGGAAGAGACATCCAAACGTACGCGGAGAGACAATAGTGTCAGACTTCATTCCGTGCAGGGAAGTCTATATACAGCTCATATATTCCATCAGACAGACGCAGCTGACAAGAAAATGGTTCTAGTGGGCGTTCTGGAAGACATCGGCCCGGGAACTATATCGCAGACGCTCCCCATAGACTCTCACATTGTTCTCCGTGTACTGTATACCTAATGTGACCTCCGGCTGTTAGCACTTTAACTCCTTGTGTAATTCTGTATGTACAATCAGGGGCATAACTAGAAATCACAGGGCCCCGTAGCAAAATTTTGTATGGGGCCCTGCGATGTCTAGTTACACCCCTTGCAGAGCCCACTTGCAGATCACACACAGCCCACCTGTGGGTGACCCTGCAGAGCCCACCATAGAGTCTCTATGGTGGCCTCTGCAGGGTTTCAGGTGGGCTGGTCACACTCCTTACCTATCAGCCCCGATCCGCTGGCCGCCTCCTCCACGGTCGCTGATGGGCCCCGTCTCCTCCTCCGTCGCCGGGCCCCACCTCCTCCTCTGCTGCCGACCTCCTGCCCCGCCTCCACTGCCGGGTCCAGCCTCTTCCTCTGCTGGCTCTGACTGACTCAGCAGCGGCTGTGCAGAGGAACACACCGCTGCACAGATCACTTTCAGTGATCAGAACAGCGGCGCGTTCCTGGACATCTGGGAGAGAGTCTTGTCACTGTGACGTTTCCACGTCCTCCGGAGCTGTTTATACGTCATCAATAAAATGATTGACACTTTTATTTCTCCAGGAACCTGCTGCTACCAGATGGAGTACCTTCAGAGCGCCAGTGGGCTCGCTTCTACGTTAAGATCTTCCGCGCTGAGGGTCTACCCAGGATGAACACCAGTATCATGGCCAACGTTAAGAAGGCGCTCATCGGGGAAAACAAGGACTTGGTGGATCCCTACGTCCAAGTCACATTTGCCGGGCAAAAGGTAATTGATGGGAAAATACTTAAAGGCACAGTCCAACCAAAACTGATATTTCAGCACTTGGTAGACTTAAACACGTTCATAGTTCCTTCTTTCTCTTAATGACTCTGTTGATGAGATCCTCGCTCTGAGTTCCTAAGTTTCCACACCCGCTGTGCCCAATATGAGAGGTTCTAACCATCCCTATGCTGAGTTCCCGGGTCTGTACACCTGCTGTGCCCATTATGAGGAGCTCCCACCATCCCTGTGCTGAGTTCCCGGGTCTGTACCCCCGCTGTGCCCATTATGAGGAGCTCCCACCATCCCTGTGCTGAGTTCCCGGGTCTGTACCCCCGCTGTGCCCATTATGAGGAGCTCCCACCATCCCTGTGCTGAGTTCCCGGGTCTGTACCCCCGCTGTGCCCATTATGAGGAGCTCCCACCATCCCTGTGCTGAGTTCCCGGGTCTGTACCCCCGCTGTGCCCATTATGAGGAGCTCCCACCATCCCTGTGCTGAGTTCCCGGGTCTGTACCCCCGCTGTGCCCATTATGAGGAGCTCCCACCATCCCTGTGCTGAGTTCCCGGGTCTGTACCCCCGCTGTGCCCATTATGAGGAGCTCCCACCATCCCTGTGCTGAGTTCCCGGGTCTGTACCCCCGCTGTGCCCATTATGAGGAGCTCCCACCATCCCTGTGCTGAGTTCCCGGGTCTGTACCCCCGCTGTGCCCATTATGAGGAGCTCCCACCATCCCTGTGCTGAGTTCCCGGGTCTGTACCCCCGCTGTGCCCATTATGAGGAGCTCCCACCATCCCTGTGCTGAGTTCCCGGGTCTGTACCCCCGCTGTGCCCATTATGAGGAGCTCCCACCATCCCTGTGCTGAGTTCCCGGGTCTGTACCCCCGCTGTGCCCATTATGAGGAGCTCCCACCATCCCTGTGCTGAGTTCCCGGGTCTGTACCCCCGCTGTGCCCATTATGAGGAGCTCCCACCATCCCTGTGCTGAGTTCCCGGGTCTGTACCCCCGCTGTGCCCATTATGAGGAGCTCCCACCATCCCTGTGCTGAGTTCCCGGGTCTGTACCCCCGCTGTGCCCATTATGAGGAGCTCCCACCATCCCTGTGCTGAGTTCCCGGGTCTGTACCCCCGCTGTGCCCATTATGAGGAGCTCCCACCATCCCTGTGCTGAGTTCCCGGGTCTGTACCCCCGCTGTGCCCATTATGAGGAGCTCCCACCATCCCTGTGCTGAGTTCCCGGGTCTGTACCCCCGCTGTGCCCATTATGAGGAGCTCCCACCATCCCTGTGCTGAGTTCCCGGGTCTGTACCCCCGCTGTGCCCATTATGAGGAGCTCCCACCATCCCTGTGCTGAGTTCCCGGGTCTGTACCCCCGCTGTGCCCATTATGAGGAGCTCCCACCATCCCTGTGCTGAGTTCCCGGGTCTGTACCCCCGCTGTGCCCATTATGAGGAGCTCCCACCATCCCTGTGCTGAGTTCCCGGGTCTGTACCCCCGCTGTGCCCATTATGAGGAGCTCCCACCATCCCTGTGCTGAGTTCCCGGGTCTGTACCCCCGCTGTGCCCATTATGAGGAGCTCCCACCATCCCTGTGCTGAGTTCCCGGGTCTGTACCCCCGCTGTGCCCATTATGAGGAGCTCCCACCATCCCTGTGCTGAGTTCCCGGGTCTGTACCCCCGCTGTGCCCATTATGAGGAGCTCCCACCATCCCTGTGCTGAGTTCCCGGGTCTGTACCCCCGCTGTGCCCATTATGAGGAGCTCCCACCATCCCTGTGCTGAGTTCCCGGGTCTGTACCCCCGCTGTGCCCATTATGAGGAGCTCCCACCATCCCTGTGCTGAGTTCCCGGGTCTGTACCCCCGCTGTGCCCATTATGAGGAGCTCCCACCATCCCTGTGCTGAGTTCCCGGGTCTGTACCCCCGCTGTGCCCATTATGAGGAGCTCCCACCATCCCTGTGCTGAGTTCCCGGGTCTGTACCCCCGCTGTGCCCATTATGAGGAGCTCCCACCATCCCTGTGCTGAGTTCCCGGGTCTGTACCCCCGCTGTGCCCATTATGAGGAGCTCCCACCATCCCTGTGCTGAGTTCCCGGGTCTGTACCCCCGCTGTGCCCATTATGAGGAGCTCCCACCATCCCTGTGCTGAGTTCCCGGGTCTGTACCCCCGCTGTGCCCATTATGAGGAGCTCCCACCATCCCTGTGCTGAGTTCCCGGGTCTGTACCCCCGCTGTGCCCATTATGAGGAGCTCCCACCATCCCTGTGCTGAGTTCCCGGGTCTGTACCCCCGCTGTGCCCATTATGAGGAGCTCCCACCATCCCTGTGCTGAGTTCCCGGGTCTGTACCCCCGCTGTGCCCATTATGAGGAGCTCCCACCATCCCTGTGCTGAGTTCCCGGGTCTGTACCCCCGCTGTGCCCATTATGAGGAGCTCCCACCATCCCTGTGCTGAGTTCCCGGGTCTGTACACCCGCTGTGCCCATTATGTGAAATATCAGTTATGTATGGACTGACACTTCAAAGGAAGGTGCTGGAAACACCTTTTTCCATATTCATTATCTAAGATTTAGTTCCATGTAAGAGGAGCTGAACCCTGGAAGCTCTTCTTAAAATAAGGCAGACGTAGTGCAAAGGACTGGTCACCAGTGTTGCCTGTGGTCACCATGCAACTGATCTTTAATCATTACTGACTTACCCTGCCTTGTTCTGCACTGGGTCTCTATGTGTAGGCGGCCATCTTGGTAGTGGTGGGGGCTTTTCCACCTTTCAGACCCTCCAGCAGAGTAATGACCACCAAATCTCACTCCAAATCTCCTGAGACAAGCAGATGGAGGCAGCAAAGCCTTAGATGATCTCACCCTGTAGATATATAGCTTTGAGGCTGTAGGTACAGGATTGCCTAGATACCCTCATGTACCTGGAGGTGCTCTACTATTTCTAGGGTATTGATTAGATACAACCATCACTTTTAGATATTCCTTATAACATATCAAATCTTCACTTTCCTTATAATATATCAAATCTTCACTTTCCTTATAATATATCAAATCTTCACTTTTTAAGTTCAGGTCTAATTCAGGTCTAATTTAAGACAACATGGATCCCGGCAGGCTGGAAGACTAAAGGTGCCCATACACTGCTCGATTTTCGTACGAGAATCGGGCGAAATCCCGCCATCGTACGAGGATCGAGCAGTGTGAACGAAGACGTGCGACCGTTTCTACTGTACAGTCGCACGTCTTTTGTCGAACCAACATGCTCGAAAACCCGCCGAGAATCGTACGATTGTCGGCGGGTTTCTAGCCTGCTCGTCCGATAGCTGCGGAACGGGCCGGTGTGCGCACGCGCACACT